TTCTTAATTAAAAAGATAGAATCTTATATCAAAGCTGTAAAAAAAAATTACTGTTGTCTATGTGTCCTTGAAAAATTAATTGAAAATGGAAATTCTTTACATGAAATCCCAGTGTTTTAGTATTTTGAAACAGCTACCTTTTCTGTTCTTTTTTGATGGAGGGAGAGTACATGTAATTCTTAAAACAATGAACAGGAAAAAAATCGTTTTACTATAGAAAACCATAAAATGGTCACACTGAAGCAAAAGCAGCAATGTTTTTTCTACATTTCTTTTCTTTTACATTCTTGATAAATATCTACTGGCCTTTATTTTAAAAAAATGTCCCTTTCCAAATTCCCTACATAAGGAATACGTAGTAATATTAATGACAGAAAAAGATTCTGCTTTTTTATCTCATCTTTTTTCATCTCCTGTCTAAGATGTCATTGTTCATCTGTCTAGAACAGTGTTTCTCAAAATTAGCATAGCTGGCTGGGAAATTATAGGAGCTGAAATGCACATGTCTTAAATGAAGTTGCCAAGGTTGAGAAACACTGGTTTAGAAGGAAGTGGTATTAAGTCTGCCAAAGCAAATGTAGCAAGTTTTATGACATCTTAAAAATTACTGATTTTATCATGGTGTATATTTGTCATTTCCTACAGGCTAAAAGATTCAAAAACAATATTGCTGATCCTAACAGTGTTGATTTTTATCATGCACTACGACCATGCAGATGGAAATCAATTTTATCTGTCACAAAGAATTCCTGATATATAACTGGAGAATACATGATTTCTCAAGGCTATAAAACAAGAGAAGAGGGAATCAAACTATTCTCCAAAACACCTGAAGGCAGAACAAGAAGCAATGGATGGAAACTAATCAAGGAGAGAACCGACCTAGAACTAAGGAGACATTTCCTGACAGTTAGAGCAATTAATCAGTGGAATGACTTGCTTCCAGAAGTTGTGGATGTTCCATCACTGGTAGTTTTTAAGAAGCGATCAGATAGCCTTTTGTCTGAAATGATATTGGGTTTCCTACTTGAACAGAGGGTTGGACTAGAAGATCTCCAAGGTCCCTTCTATTAAGAGAAAAATGTTACTGAATCTTTCTACTCCAGTATCCATGCCCCATTCCTTACCTGATTTTAGATAATGAGATTTGTTTATAAATCCGTTGTTGAATGTCATACTTTTGCAGACCATTTGGATTTTATTCCTTGGCAATCTAGTCTACATTGTTCTTTCTTTTTTTGCCCATCAAAATCATTGGCAGGGGACTTAATGTGGTTATAACAGTGCGGTCCATTAACTTAAAATCTAATACATATGGAAGAACTGTAAAAAGTTATAGCCAACTGTTATAAAGAATAAAATTTACTATTAACCTGCTACTGCTCCTCATCCTTGAAAGGTACAGTGCTTCTAACAGACAACCTGTATTAAAGCACGTGTGGAAACAGTTATGCTCCCTAGTCATCCTCATTCATGAACCAGAAGAACCTCAGCAGCTATATAGGTACTTCTGGTTTAATGACCACAACTGGGACCAGCAGCTTGGTTAAGCAAATAAGTTGCTAAGTGAAACATCACAATTTTAAGATCTTATTTCCATTTTCCTTTGCTTTACAAACTTGTGAAAGTTGTAAATGCGAAGACTGGTTGCCAAGTTACTTTTCCACCATCATTGTAACTGCTAAATGAGGCAATAACTATTACCTGTAATGCTGGCATCTAAAGGAAATTAGTAGACTGGGCATTTCACCTTTTTTTACAGACACAGTTAAATAAAATTACTACAGACATTAATTTCTCATTTGAAGCGTTACAGATGGGAGTTCTTCTAACAGATGGCCTTTCGCTGCCTCGCTTTCCCATCGTTTTCAAAGAACATTGTGACAAGAGACAGGTGCCAGCTACTCATTCCCATCTTCCCTGTTGCTTTAGCTGCAGGCATCTTCTATTTGGGATTCTCCCAGCATGCCAGGTGTGGAATGCATCTTGCTATGTCAGTTCCAAACAGCCAAGCCTAATGGGGGGGGGGGATTTTGTATTGTGTTCTCAGAGGCTGATCCAGAAGTCTTCCTCCTCTCCCGCACACCCCACCCCACCCTCCAGGGTGATAATTGCCATCTGCAAGGGAAGCAGTGCTAATGGCAAGGGAATCCAGGCTGTCTGTGTATTCCTTGTGAATTGGGGAAGCTGAAAGGAAATTGGCTTAATTTTACAAGCCTGCTCCCTCCATCCCAGAAGGCTTGCCATCATTCTGAAGTGTTGCCATAGATACAGCTAAGAGAGAACTCTGCGTGAAATCAAAAGGGGAACTATAGAAAGATTAAGATATGTGAACCTTTGAGTTGCCTTGCTAGTTTGAAAGAGCAGTCATTACTCCCGGGATGTATATTTATGTTATTTTCACTTCTACGAAATAAGATGTAAAGAACAGTTGTTGACAGCTGGACCTGGGTGTCCCAGAACCAAAATAGACTTGAGAATAAACAAAAGCATAGAATTAGAATCCTTTCCAATATAGAAAACCATGCTGTGATAACCCGGGGCATGGAACAAAGGCAACACAGTTAAATAAGCAAGAAGAGTCCCTTTAATTATCTCCAACTTTGCCCCCAATGTCCAGGTTATCTTCAGCTGGAGAAAAACTCTCAGGAACAGCCTTTAACTGGAGAAAATTCAGTCCGAAGACGAAGTACATACAAACTGTCACTAAACATTCAAACAAACCATGCTGCAGTAATTAACTTGACAGGGCAGGAGAAGGAATTGCAGCCTTGAAAGCTCAGCCAAACACACAGGGTTGGGAAGACGCCAGGAACCCAGATTAGCCTCCATGATACCGGATAATTCACAATTTGCTTCTAACAACTTTGCTGTGCATAGCTTCCCTTTTTAAACACTTGTGTTCCCAGCTGCAGCTATGAAGGGAATCAGGGCCCTTTCCTCCCCTGTAAGCCATGCAGCTCATGTTGCTCCCGTCTCCGTTCCTCCCTGCATGCCCTAGGATGAAGAGGGGATGGCCCTGAGTCTTCCTCTGAATTCCCTCTGCCTTTCTCTACCTCTCCCCTGCTCTGCCTAGCTGGACTTTGCCCTTCCCCAGTTTCTTCCACAGTCAAAGGAACCACATTCCCACTCCCTGTCAACTGCTCGGTCTCCCCCTTGGAATCAGATTCCTAAAGGGGCATGACACATGCATATGTTGGCTTTGGAACTACCCCACCCCACCCCGCCTTCAGAAGATGTTGAAGAATACTGATATTAAAATTATTTTAAAATCCTTTGGGTGCATAGAATTAAGAATTACTATAAAACAGCTATTTTACATTCCTTTTTTTTCCTTTGGGGGTGCATAGCAGAATATCTGGGAATCTTCTTTTCTTGCATTTAATCATTTCAATAATAGATTATTAAAAACACTCACTGGCCCAAAAGCCACCCAAATAGAACATGGTTGCATGAGGAATGTGTGTTTTCATAGTCTTAAAATCACCAAGTCTGTTAATCTTAGATATTTAGAATTACACTTCTACTAAGATAATATTTAGTAACATGCAAACATTAATAAATTAGACAGACAGACAGACATAGAATAGATATATGCGTCCATTAGAAGCATTGCTCTCTTAAATCTTTACCAAAACTAACAGCAGATTATTTAAAACTATGTATTTTTAAATATTAAAGAATACTTTAAAGATAATATTTTTTACAAACCATTTAAGCTGTTAGAAACCTTGATAAGTAAGTTCCACCCTAACTTCCTTTGAATCATAATTTAGTGTTAGGAATTTGGAGGTGGCTTAACTACAATTCCCAGAAGTCCCAACATTAGCTATACTGGTTAGAGCTCTTGGGAGTTGAATTCAACAACATCTGAAAATCCCAGCTTGTCTGTTCCTGCATTTAATGGAGTGTGGACTGTTTTACTAGCAGACTGAATGTTCCATTTCAAAGATTGTTGTTTTCTTACCAGGATCAATCAGATCAGGGCATAATTCAATTCCTTAAAACTCAAATGTTGTATAACGGTGCAGATCAGGCGCTTCTGAGATTATTGCTTTGTACATCTGTAATCATGTTCATCCTTCATTCACATTTTTTAAGAGTCTGGTTTTTTTCAGACCTTGAAATTTTCTTGCACAAGAACTCTGAATAGTTAAGAAAGTCTTCATGGAAAAGCAAGCGCCATTGGATTCCATGAGAGAGCAACAGCGCCACATCCTGGACAACTGCAGCCTTTTTTTCTTAAATTGTCTTTGTGTTTCCTGATGCATCTCTACATTACCTTAGCTTAGAAGAAGGGACAGTGAAAAAGATACATAATCGTAATTTAAGATTCTCAAGAATCCAAATTCTTTACAGGGCTCCAGATTGTTCTTCACAAATCGTTAAGCATTATATTTCCATACTAGCAAATGAAATATAACTTTAAGGCACTTTAATTTATTTAAAAGTACTGATATTAGTGGAAAGAATTAAACTGACAACCATTCACTAAGGGAACTATTTTTATTATCTCTATTCCATGAAAAATTCAGAAAGCTAAAAAGTGCAACTATCAAATATATCTATTTATTTCCAAATAGAGGCACAGTACAGGTAGTCCTCAACTTACAACCACAATTGAGCCCAAAATTTCATTTGTTAAGTGAGTTTTGTTCCATTTTAGGACCTTTCTTGCCTCAGTTGTTAAGTGAATCACTGCAGTTGATAAGTTAGTTACCCATTAATTAAGTGAATCTGTCTCCCCCATTGACTTTGCTTGTGAAAAGGTCGCAAAAGGGCATTACATGACTTTGGGACACAGGAATGGTTATAAGTATGAACCAGTTGTCATGCGTGTCAACTTTGATCACATGATCATGGGGTTGCTACCAAGGTTGTAACTGTTAAAAATGGTCATAAGTCACTTTTTCCAGTACCATTGAACAGTCATCAAATGAACTGTTGTAAGTCGACTCACATTCTAATTCTAAAATGCTATATATCTCTGTTTCTTACAGCTCCTGCTATAGTTGTGCCACCAAAAAGGATTCACAATGTAACTGGAGCCCAGGTCTATTTGTCCTGTGAGGTGAAAGCTGTTCCAACACCAATCATCACTTGGAAGAAAGTAAGTTAGGGGTCCTTCTAGATGCCAGTTGGCTGAATCGGGAACCTACATCAATGCCAGGAAAACTTCTGACTCAAAAGCAATATCTTACTTGTGAGAGTAGGTTGTGAGATATATTCAGTTGATCCTGGATCTTCTAGAACCCCCAAAAGATCTATTTATTACAGAATATAGAGCAGGGCTGTCAAACTCGCAGTCCATGCGCTGGCCATGGCCACGCCCAGTTTATCAAAGGGGGGGAAAGTTCTGATAAGTCATGTGATGCTGCCATGACGATGCAAGTTCTGACACCCCTGATATAGAGGTATTCATAGACTGGATCTTAAAAGCTCCATTAAAATCCTGCAGGAGTGTAGAGCAGCTCCTTAATTGGATGTATTATTATTAACAGCTTTTCTTTACCCTTAATTAGCTGGAGCTGACAAAAGCATTGAGGTCCTGAAGATAAAATATATTTTAAATTCAGCGAGCTCTGTTTATTCTTGAATATATACTGTTAGATTATCATGATAGAGGTAGATTATCACCCTTTTCGTTAGATCAACAGTCAGTACCATTTTGTAGGTGGCTGAAGAATTGTAGTGAATGAGGTAATGATACAAGATGCGTATGGCAAGTCTTCTCTATTATTTTTAAAATAAATCTTTGCACTGTGGCATTTTTAGGATTTGTACAAATGCCTTGTGTTTCCTTTATCATGATGCTCTTGATTTTTGGCAGCAGGTACCAGAAGAAGCTCTGAGGGTGCCAAAAATGGTCCAGGGGGCTCCAAATGTTCATCATAGATTAAACGGTTAAACCTATGAATATCCCAGAAAGGGAAGTCTTGAGGAATGGTAGGCTAGGAAACGGAGTATGGCAGTGATAGCAAACAAAGTATCTTAGGGTATTGGAATGTAAGATTATGATGAGGCATAATACTAAACAAAGCAAGAAAATAACTAAGCTCAGAGAGAACCAAAGACTTTTCATTTCAACTCTGAGCTGCAAAATATTCTCCATTAAACAAAGCCTCAAGTTTTCTTTAAATAAAAATTGTTCTACACAAATGGTTAAATAAAACATGTAAATAAGTTTAAGCCAATGAATCTCTTTCAAATAGGCCGTCTTGGTTAAATCCCATAGGTCACGGAGTCCCCCAAGGGAGTTAGGCTCTTAGAAGAATTGCCTGGAGACAGAGTTAACATGGCTGTTCAGGTTCGAGGTGGTCCCTCTAAGCATGAGAGCACAGGCTGGGTTTTGGTAAGTATGTCAGAAGGGCAATTTGTAGTGGGACAGCTACTGGGACACGGAACGATTTTTATGTGTAGGATCTCATTTCTTTGGCGAATGATCCCTCAGGATTGTATGTCATCAGTGAGTGTAATTAAACCCAGTGATTTGTGGTGTAAAAGCCAAATTTATTTATTTGTCAAATTTATTCACCTACCTCACCGTGGGGCTAGTCTACATTACAACAATAATGAAGAAGAAACGAAAAGAAGTGTAAATATAAAAGTAGCAAAGTAAAGGAACAATAGAATAAACCCTGAAAAAGAAAGAAGGATAGAGTGATATGAGAATAAAAAACGGGTGGGTGGGTAAGCAGGGAATGAAGGGGAAGTTGGGGCTTGCTATCAATCTGTAGTATCCCCTCCAATGTGTTGGTAGTTTCTTTATTTCATTTTCTTCGTTTCTTTTCTTTCCTTCGATGGAAGCATCATCCCATTTATTCCTATCATCATGATCCTACCCTTTTCAACAGACTGTCAGGAGATAGATAGGTTGCTCTTGCCAGAAACTGATTTGATTGCAAATAGACAGGCTTTGAAATTCAGCCAAAGGCTGGAGGAAACACAGAAAAGTAGAGAGAGCGGGGGAAGGACAGACAGACAGCCCTCTGAGAGCCATAGTGGGTGTAGCTTGCAAATGAGCAGTGCTAAATTTTCCAGCCTTTGTAAGATTGGGAATTATAGTGAATGAAGCCTCCTTAGAAGTGTAAAACAATAGAATTGGGAATAATCGATTCAGTTGCAAAGTTTCAGGAATATTAAGGCATAAAATTAATGCTTAGACCTGGGCGTAATCTAAAAGACCCATTTAGCCTTTTGAAGTTCCTTCTTAACTCTCACCAAATTATAAAAAAATGGGCTAAAAGTATTAACTCCACCAAATGCAGGGGTGCTTTGTTGGATCTAGAAATATTCCGGCCTGCTAAAAGAATACTAGAGATAAGTATGGAAACTACAGGTTCTGCATCTATGGGTGGAACAGGATCTGCACCATTATTTTGGCTTAAATATATCATTTGTGTGCAGGAAGATCAAGGGGTCATTAGGCTTTGTAGCCAGCATGCAATTCTCTTTCAAGTACCGTGTTTCTCATATAATAAGGCCGGGTCTTTTTTTTTTTTTTTTGAACCCCGAAAAAACAGCTAGGTCTTCTTTTAGGGGGTGACTTAATTCCCCCCCTCCTTGCATCCTTGGGTGGGCGGGCGGCGATGGCTTGGATGTTGACCTCGGCATTGGTGGGGCACTTTGTATCAGGAGACCTTCCGCCACCGTTGCTTTCCCTCCTCCCCATGCTGCCACGGCGTTTGGAGCAATGCGGCACAGCTGACAGGCGGGCCCTCCTGCCCAGTGGTGGAGCTCTGGCCAAGGCAGCAAATGCCTTCCCGCTGGGCCCTCTGCTCATCCCACCAGGGCCGCACCAGAGCCGGGCGGGCTGGGCAGAGCCAGGAAAGTGAGCGGCGGGTGCGTGCCTGCCTGCCAAGCGAAAGAGACGGGCTGACCTGAGCTTGGTTTCCCAAGTCCCTTCAGCCCGACCCCGAAGGGACCACCGGGAGAAACTGCCCAAGGCAGTGCTGCTTCCCTGACTGGCGGGACCAGTGGAGAGAGCCCAAAGCCATCCGTCCTTTCCACCCCTCGCCCAGCCCATCTCCACGCATCTCCAAACGTGCTGGCAGCTCCAAACGCTGCAGCGGCACGGGCATCGGGCTCACTTGGCGGGGCTCAGCTGGGAGGAGGACGTGGCGTGGGCTGTCGCCTCACCTCCCTGTCCACGGGCGGGTGGGCATTATCACTGCCTTGAGCAGACTCTCCCGGTGGCCCCTTCGTGGTCAGGCTGGAAGGACTTGGGAAGCCAAGCTCGGGCCAGGCTGGCTCTTTCACTTGGCAGGCGGGCGCACACCCGCAGCTCTCTTTCCCGGCTCTGCCCAGCCCGCCCGGCTCTGGCGCAGCCCTGGTGGGATGAGCGGAGGGCCCAGCACGGAAGCACTCACTGCATTGGCCAGAGCTCCGCCGCCAGGCAGGAGGGGCCGCCTGTCAGCCGCGCTGGGCGTCCCAGGTGAAGCTCTTCGTGCTCTGCCCGGCGCCAGGAAGGGATGGCGGCTGGGCGCTTCTCCTGGGGTGGGCTGATCCTGCACTATGGCCCCAAGAGATTCACCTCCCCACGTGGGGTTGGGTTGCCCTCTCGGGTAGGCTTTGTCATACCGGTAGTAGGGTGTCGTTTTTAAAAGAATGGCCTTTGTCTTTGAACAATGCCAGGGAAGGCGGTGACAGGAGCGCCTGAAGCCAAGTGTCCCCGCCGGGCTCCGGTTGCAGGGAGGAGCCCTGGGTGGCCACGCATGGCTGCGCCAAATGCCGCATGGCTGCACCAAACACCGCAGCGTTGCTCCAAATGCCACGGCAGCACAGGGAGAAGGGAAAGCAACGGTGACGGAAGGTCTCCCAATACGAAGTGCCCCACCAACGCCGAGGTCAACACAGGTGGCACCATATCCGGGTGTGCAACAAAAGTACTTCCTAACGGCAAGCCCCCATGCCATTCCCCATGCCATTCCCCGCCATTTCACATGTTTTAATATAGGCCTTAATTGCGGGGAGGGGCTTAATTTCATTTCATGCGTATAAAACATGCTGGGACTTCCTATTGGGGGAGGCCGTATTGTTGGAGAAACACGGTACCTCTTAACTGACAAGAAAGATCATCCATCCTTACACTCTTTCGCTGATGGAGAACTCCCTCTTGGGATCTGCACAAAGTAATATGCTGAACTCATTGTTTTCTACTTGGAAATCTGAACTTGAGCTACCCAGAAGACTTAATTATATTAGGTATGAAGTCGAATTTCCTTCTGTATTTTCTTCTTCAACCAAGTATTAATTGAATTCCAGTGCCAAGCACATGTTCCTACTGATATGCTATATTTCAAACTGCATTCTTTTTCTCCTATTTTTTCCCGTAGAAATTACAGGTGGTAAAGTTAATAATATATTTTAAAAAAACACACAAAAGAATGGTGAAATATCATGATACAAAATGTCAATACATAATATGGTCAAATTTAGCATTTTATTGATAAAAATTTCTTGAAGATTTAGTATATAGACTAACAGAAGAAATGCAAAAACAGCTAGGAAGATGGTCCTAGCAAACCACTCCGTTTTGCCAAGAGCTCCACCATTGATCTTAACTCAGGGAGCCTTTACTTTTGATGATTGCAGCTGATTTTATTGGATTTTATACATGCAATGTTGACTACTAATTCTATAGCACCTGTATACCTTGAAATAATAAAGAATAGATAGTTTATGGAGATGCTCAGTCATTCAGAACAAGGTTGTCCCAAAGGTGCTTTTTCAAGAGGCAACAGGACTTTCTGGTTTTTCTTTGAAGATGTTTCACTTCTCATCCAAGATGAGCTGAAGAAACTTCTTGGAGGAGAAGCGAAACGTCTTCAAAGAAAAACCAGAAAGTCCAGTTGCCTTTTGAAAAAGCACCTTTGGGACAGTAGACGAAATTGTTTTTCCCAAACTGATTGCCAGGAAATTATCAAGTCTGTTCTGATCAAAACCATATTTATACCTGGCATACAAGGAGAGACTTACCATTTCACAAGAATTATTATTCTTAAATCGCAAAGGAACTGCTGTACCCAAACGTTCACTAAACGGTGCTATTGGGAAGAGGTTTTTCAGTCCCTGATTCTATTGAAAACAATGTAAAAAGGGATTACAGGTATGCAAACACAATTACAGTGCAATTATAGGAGCCAAAAAAATAATAGCCCCAGAGAGAAAATGTTTGGTGTGCTTGTTATTTCCCCATAGATTAATCCTCTGACAAAAGATGATGAAGGTGTTTATCAGTGTCATGCCACAAACATGGTGGGAGAAATGCAGGCAGAGGGGACTATTAAAGTCCTGCACCAAAGTAAAAATAAGAAGGATCACTTCCCAGCATCAGAAGACGTGAAGTAGCAAGGTAACTTTAATCTTAGTCTTCCATGTTAATAATGCCTTTTTAAATGACTATAAATGCCTGCCCTTTTTTTCATAGACAAGGATGGCATAATAAAATGAACAAAAGGGGGCTTTAGAGGCTTACAAGTCGGTTTCAACCTAAAGGCAAATAGATCTTGATTTCCATGGAACATTTATAAGCACACGGTTGCAATTTGCACACCATTGTTCCCCAGAACTCACCTTACAGGAGTTATTCTCTGAAAGGCTTTTATACTACATTGAGTATGTTGAATTTCTGATTTTTCTAAAAAAGAAAGTTAAAGTTGGTATCGTTGCCTAGTGCTGTCAAGCAGAATCTATGTACATTTTACTACAGGCATTGTAAGAATTATGAAAATGTTGGAAATTGCCGCTATGTGGCCATCCCTTCAATTCTAATCTCTGAAAGTATGGAAATATCTCAAACAAGATCTTTTTTCAGTGGTAATTTATCTTGGGGTAATTGGTGGTTGTTATCCTCAACTTCATAGTATGCATGATGAGTTTCAATGGAGAAATACCTGTAAAGGCAGATAAATTGACTAACTTTCTCAAAAAGGGATGGAGAGAAAACTATGACAGACTTATTGGAGCAATTAAATGCTTGATGCCTAGATAGTGGTGAGAACAGGACATTGGTAGCATTCATGGTTCTCCTATTAAGCTATGGGGAAGACAGGAGCATCCCCTTTATTATTGTAGTATAACTCTTTGTGCCTTTAATCTATTAACTGCACAGAAACATGCTAAGAGTTTATGAGTAAATTGCAACTTTTTCTCATTGTATTTGTAGTTCCTTATATGGAGACACTATACCAGGGTTGTCCAGCCTTGGCAACTTTAAAACTTATGGACTTCAACTCCCAGAATTCCCTAGTCAGCATGGCTGGCTAGGTAATTTTGGGAGTTGAAGTCCACAGTTGCCAAAGTTAGATACCCCTGCTCAACAGTATTAGTGATACTATACTACATTTTTCCAAAAACTAGTCCATGTGTTTGAGAAGTCAGCAGCTGATGCACATTTTCAGGCATACGACTGCTAGAGTATAGTTCTGCAAACAGTCCACGTTCATTTACATTGTGCAAATAGCTTTGGCTATAAAAGCTGCTACACAAAGCAAGATCAGTGCTTGCCAACCAAAGTTGAAATCTAACACTTTTTCCTCTTCACCTTAAAAGGAAAAGAGAACCAGAACAGATGGGAATATGGTGGAACAGGAAAAAGTGCATTTTAGGGTCTGATAAGAATAGGAGCTAAAAGGTAGGGATGAAAAGAGAAAGAGTAAGTGCTTTGGACACAGAAAGAAAATTGGTGGATTACAATAAGGAATGTGTGTAAAAAAACAATTAAGAATGAGTCAATAAAACCAATTATTTGTAACTGAAACTAAACAAAATCCTCCACATTAATTTTCTGTAAAACTGCATATAAATATTATTTGTGAATGCCACAAGTTATTTTTTTCTCTTCCTTCCCCCACATCTGTCTAGACCTCCTCCAGTGGGATCGGAATTGAACACAATCTAGACACCAATGGATGGATTAGTGATTGCTTTCTTACTTTCTGAAGACTAGAAGACACTATCTCAATCTTTTCTTGAGTAATGGTGATATTTGTACCCCCTTTTTAGTGTTTGATGAATATTGAACATGTAGTTAGTATGGAACGAAGACATAATAAAAGCATGTTTTTTTAAAAAAATGTTTTTATTGGCACGCTCAAGTACATCTAGAAAACATTACAACTTACTACACAAATTAACTGGCAAAATAGTAATTACTGCATTCAAGGCCATTTAAAATTGAGACATGGACAAAATATTCATTTGAGCTCTCCCTTCACGAAGCAATCAATTCTCCATCATTTTTGTCCATAAAACTAAATGGCCTACTAAATGAGAAATAGCAAAAACAATATTGTATTTTAATGCATTAGTTTAACCACTTGAATGAAATTTGCGAAGGTTTATATTCACCTTTCTTCCAAGACCCTTATAATGAACTTCCCTTCATTACATAATCACCACAACCCTGTATGGTAGATTGAACGAAGAGCTGGCTCAAAGTCATCCATTGAGTTTTCATGGCTTGGGTGGAATTAAATCTTGTCTTCACTGTGATAGCCCAACAGTTCAAACAATACACTGGCACATTACAAATTCTGAACTGGATTCTGAATAGAACTCCTGTCCTATAAAACCTAGAACATGTGTCAATATAATACACACATGCACACTCCTCCAGAACGCTATAGGGTCTCCTGCTTGTGTAGGGTGGCTGAACTAGAAGACTCCAAGATCTTTCAACTCTGTTATACCTTTACTCTTACGTCTTTAAAAGTGCACTAAATTTGAGAACATACTGTTTCATCTTTATCATCTTCGTTGCTTGTCTTTTTATAGAATAATGCCTTTAATCTAGTCATATTCTCTGCCCAAGGTAAAAGATATTATAACAGGTTTTGAAGTGTAATAGAAAAGATGGAAACTCAGAGTTAAACTGCAGTTTCCTGCATGCTTATACCCATTTAGTAGAAGACAAACTCCTGTTATTCTATCTTCTCATTCCTGTGTTACTTTTATATTTTGATTAGGTAGGTACACTTCAACGCAAAACAACCCTTAAACTTCAGCTACCTAGTTTTATTTTCCAAAAATAGTCCTCAGATTTTGATGGAACCTAGAGGTATTCGGGGGGGGGACGGGGGGGACGACTCTTCCCCCAAAAGTCATGATTGTTAAAATGACAAAAAAAAATCATGAAACTACAAATGAAATCCGGATTTAAAAATGACCACACCACACTTTTCTTAGGAAAGATTGCTACTTAGCCATTGACATCTGGTGGCTGCTTTTATTCATGGAAATGCTCACATGATATATTCAATTAGAGAAATCAAAGTGGGAAAAGAACCACCTCATACACATAAACCAGACTGCTTTTTGAATGAAATGAAAGCCCCCGTCAATCGCTCATTTCTGGAAGAAGCTGATATGGATATGAAAGAGAGCGTCTTCTCATTTTTGTACATGGCATCTGGATACTAAGGTCTGTTGTCTTCCAGTTAGGTTATCTGGCTGACCTAGCCTCCATTAATTTAATATTTAAAAAGCAAAAAGAAAACTTCTGAAGCTACGCCTAATTTCTTCATTGCTCTCAAGGGAGACAGTTTCAATAAATTGACTATGATCTTGTTTCATTTCAAATAAAGATTTTAGGCAGCAGGCACATCAATGTGGCCGCAATTCCTATCTTTAATATGAAAGTCATGCCTAAACTAGTACCTATCTCCCCATTTAGCACCAGTGATTACATAAGTCATCATTGTTTGGTATTCTTCCTTCCTTTGCTCTCTGACCTGACAAGCAACTTCATTAGATGAGCCCACATTTTAATCATAACCAAATTGTTCTGTCTATTACTCCATGCCTTTTTTTAGCTTGATTGCTTAACAAAACTCAGTGTCATCGCAAACAAGAAGAATTGTCAGCTTTGCTTTTGGCTGAATTTAATATTACCTGTTTTTGATCTTTTGAAAAGCTTCAAGCACAGTGCTGTACAGTGTGTGTTTTTTTCTCATCCCGAAGTGTCAGAACTTAACAAAAAGGATGCAGTATGAAAGAATGAGTTTAACTAATATGACTGGAAATATAGCAGAATACTATCATTAGAACATATAGTCCATTTATTTTAATCTTTCAGGATATATCCATAAGGTTTCACATGGACACTGTATAAGTGACAACAATATCACTATGAATGCTTCAGATATAATTATATTTCAATGCATATTTAGCAGCTTTCCCAAATCGGGCCTGATTATAAGCTCTGAATAAGAATAAGATTGCACCAACATGAAGACAAGAACAAAAGTCTGGCACATGGAAAGAAAAGTGACAAAAATATTTTACTTTTTCAGCTGCTCTACAATCTTCATATGGAAATGTTCAGGATCCATCTGTTAGGATATAGAGTCACTTTAACTATAGTCCATTCTTAAAAAGGCATTCAAAGTCCAGTTTGGTCTTCCATGCAGGCAATCCTCGAAGCTCTTATTATCATATGCTGTCCAGCTTCTTTAAAACAAATGGAGCTATGGAAAGAAACACAGTAATGCTCTCAACAAACAAAAGAAGACATTTAGATCATAACTCCTGGTTTAAGTTTAACTAAATCAGCAGGAAAGTGATGGTATTCCCTTAGTATAGGTAACTGACATTGAATGTCCTATATAGGTATAACTACACCATGGTAAATTTTCTAGTAAATATTTTTTGCTTAGTTTCTTCCCCATGGTGATGAGCCACAAAGCTCTGTAAATGATCTGATCTTGAAAATGCAGATTTAAGAAAATTGCACTGAAAATAAATTTTGAGTTTTCCACCTCTTGAATATTTGCATTGTTCTTAAGACATTCAATACCTAACTTTAAAGTTATATAATACATGTGTACAAATCATGAATACTAGAGATATTTTTAAAATGCAAAACAAAACAGAAGGGCATTATTTCTCAAGTGCCAAAAATGTTTTTTTGGAACTCAGGGGCCAAGTAGCAGTATTCAAAGAACTGCCAATAGTCCAAGCCTCTGGCTTTATGAAATACTGCATTGCAGAGTACTGTCCTTATATCTCAGCTGCAAAAAATGAAGACATCTGTTAAATTACAGTTGTCTTTCCATTTGTTTTTTTTGCTCCATCAGAAAATTTAGCGGTAAACACCAGGTTTTCCTGATTATGGTTTTCTGAGTTTATTATTATTTTACATAGTGTTTACCCTTGGGTTGTGATTTCCCCTAGAGTTTGGTTTAAGATAGACAGCCGCATAAATATTTATACTAACTTTACTTATTTAAAGTTAGCATTTATTCTTCCTTGCACCAGTATCTCATCCTTGCCCATTGGATATGGGCAGCCAATAATAAATTTAAATAAATAATAATCTACTCTTAACTCCAACCTTTCCCCTCCCCCCCCCCAACAACTCCCTAGGGCCGGACCGAGGCATGCCTGGCCAAAGTGACCTTTTTTAAAAATTTGTCAATTGCTTACAAGATAATAGGTATAAGTAAAAACATAGTTATGAATACATGGATACATATAAGAAAAATAAATATATATATAAAAGAAACAATAGGACAGGGACGGTAGGCACGTTGGTGCGCTTATGCACACCCCCTACAAACCTCTTAGGAAAGGGGTGAGGTCAATAGTAGACAGTCTAAGGTTAAAGTCCAATTCCTCTCGGGTTCTACTTCAAACCCCTTAGCCGCTACTCCGCCCCGCATCTTCTGATGACACGAAATGCTCCTCATCTTCCCATCTAAACCTCCCCTTCCCCAACGTTAATGAAGGTCCCTGCTAAACCCCGGCTTTGCAGCAGCTCCCGGGAAAATTATCCCCAGCACGTGGCCGCCGCCGCCGCCGCCCCAGATGTGCGCGCGGGAGGCACTCACTGATGCGCAGCACGGCAACGTAGATGAGGAAGTTGCGGATGGAAGAGAGAACGTCCTCGCGCATTTTGCGCTTCAGCTCCTCCGGGTCCAGCTTGGGCCCCAGACCCTCAAGGCGGAACATGGTGGTCTCAGCTGCCGTCGGCGCCCAACCAAGGAAGCTTCCGAAAAAACTACCCAAGGGCTCTCTCTCGAAGTAACCCCGCCCTCCCTACGGATGTCATTGAGGGACAAATTTCTTGCTACGGTCCGCGTCCAAGGGGAAAAGACTAGGGTTATTGCCCCTTCTTACACTTCCGGTACAGAACGCTTTTCAATTCTTGACTTCCGGAGCCGAAGGAAGGTTCTAATCCTGAATACGAGAGAAAAAAAAGTATCTTAGGGATGGTAGAAAATCGCATGTGTTTTTTTTCCTTCTTCTGATTTTTCACCTTTCGTCTTTTCCTCTCTCTTCTTTATTATGTAAATAGCCCCGCTGCCTGTAAACTTTTTTTCTCCCTGTTCTCAGCAGAAAGGTAATGCTGTTTTAAAAATTAAGATTGGGAGTGCGGATTTATTACAGCTTTACTAAACTGCAACGTTTCGGTTCCTGCTTCCATCTGCAATAAAAACAAAAAACACAAAGATGCTCTAACTGCATATTTATAATTCTTCTGCTAGGAGAAAAAAAAACCCCATAAACGATTCAATGTTATATCCAACAGTATGTTGCAAATTGCAATGACTATTTGCCATATAGATTGGGTAGTTGAAACTGAAAAATACACTGCTCAAAACAATAAAGGGAACACAAAAATAAGACATCCTAGATCTGAATGAATGAAATATTCTTATTAAATATTTTGTTCATTACATAGTTGAATGTGCTAACAACAAAATCACAGAAAAATTATCAATGGAAATCAAATTTAGCAACCCATGGAGGTCTGGATTTGGAGTTACACTCAAAATTAAAGTGGAAAAAAACACTACAGACTGATCCAACTTTGATGTAATGTCCTTAAAACAAGTCAACATGAGGCTCAGTAGTGTGTGTGTGCCCTCCACGTGCTTGTATGACCTCCCTACAATGCCTGGGCGTGCTCTTGATGAGGTGGCAGATGGTCTCCTGAGGGATCTCCTCCCACACCTGGACTAAAGCATCCCCCAACTGGACAGTCTGTGGTGCAACGTGGCTTTGGTGGATGGAGCGAGATATGATGTCCCAGATGTGCTCAGTTGGATTCAGGTCTGGGGAACGGGCGGGCCAGTCCATAGCATCAATGCCTTCGTCTTGCAGGAACTGCTGACACACTCCAGCCACATGAGGTCTAGCATTGTCTTGCATTAGGAGGAACCCAGGGCCAACTGCACCAACATATGGTCTCACAAGGGATCTGAGGATCTCATCTCAGTACCTAATGGCAGTCAGGCTACCCCTGGTGAGCACATGGGGGGCTGTGTGACCCCCTAAAAAAATGCCACCCCACACCATTACTGATCCACTGCCAAACCAGTCATGCTGGAGGATGTTGCAGGCAGCAGAACGTTCTCCACGGTGTCTCCAGACCCTGTCACGTCTGTCATGTGCTCAGTGTGAACCTGCTTTCATCCGTGAAGAGCACAGGGCACCAGTGGCGAATTTGCCAATCTTGGTGTTCTCTGGCAAACATCAAACGTCCTGCACGGTGTTGGGCTGTAAGCACAACCCCCACCTGTGGACGTTGGGCCCTCATACCACCCTCATGGAGTCTGTTTCTGACTGTTTGAGCAGCCACATGCACATTTGTGGCCCGCTGGAGGTCATTTTGCAGGGCTCTGGCAGTGCTCCTCCTGTCCCTCCTTGCACAAAGGCAGAGGAAGCGGTCCTGATGCTGGGTTGTTGCCCTCCTACAGCCTCCTTGATGTCTCCTGATGTACTGGCCTGTCTCCTAGCAGCACCTCCATGCTCTGGACACTACGCTGGCAGACACAGCAAATCTTCTTGCACAGCTCACACTGATGTGCCATCCTGGATGAGCTGCACTACCTGAGCTGCTTGTGTGGATTATAGACTCTGTCTCATGCTACCACTAGAGTGAAAGCACCGCCAGCATTCAAAAGTGACCAAACCATCAGCCGGAAAGCATAGGAACTGAGAAGTGGTCTGTGATCACCACTTGCAGAACCACTCCTTTATTGGGGATGTCTTGCTAACTGCCTGTGCTTTCCACCTGTTGTCTATTCCATTTGCACAACAGCATGTGAAATTGATTGTTAATCAGTATTGCTACCTAAGTGGACAGTTTGATTTCACAGAAGTGTGATTGATTTGGAGTTACATTGTGTTGTTTAAGTGTTCCCTTTATGTTTTTGAGCAGTGTATTATCCTTGTGGGCCCAAGCTTGTCTTCGTTTTCTTCTGTTTATAAGAATAAAAGGAAGATACTTTCAGGATAAGGTAAAGAATTCTAGGTATAGAATAAAGCACATGTGCAACATACCCAATCCATACAGTTTGATAAATAACAAATTGGAAAACAATTCCATCATCCTGGTGATCTTGATCACAAATTACCTGCAGAATAGGTTTGCACAACCCCCTGTGAATGTTCTAATATCATAATCTGGCTATAACTGGATTGTGACACAATGTGGACTTTATTCTAGATGTTTGCAATGATAATGAGCCATTAATGGACATTTGAGTAGCAACTACTACTCAGGCATTGTTCAGAATTGGCCCAAGACATTTTGCTACCCTCAGAAGAACAACAAATGGTAACTATTTGATTGAGAAGAACCCCATTCTCAAACCAAAGTTCACAGTATCTAAAGCCAGTAAAATGTTGGCAGCATTGGCAGTTCATCCATGACAGTAAATCATCTTTTCCATCAATATTTTTATGTCCTCTAAAATCAGCTGTCTCACAGCTCTCTACATCTAATATGGCATTGCCTGCCATCCAATTTACAAATAGGAAAGAAATATTTCTGGCTCCAAACAGCTGGCAAAATGCTTCTCAGTAGAGCTGTCTTGTTGATGATTCTCAAGAAACAACTTCTAATTCTGGAAAAAAAAGAGTTCACCATTTTAAACCCCACCAATACTACATCAAGTGTTACAAAACATGATAGAACATTTAAAATGGCAGTTATCTTCCTTAGCTTCACCCACTTATGCTGTTGAATAAGCTTAGGACTGGGCAACTGTTTTTGTAACTGCTGCAAAATTATGATATGTACAAAAATGGAAAAACTGAAATATAATTGGATGGTTGGCTAAGATGACATAATTAGCAGAAATACCTTTTGGACTTTCTGCTGAAAAAAAGAAATCAAGGGTTGGAAGCCCATTCATTATATATTTTTTTCTTTTTTTTCCTTTCTTTTACTGCATATTTTCACTTACTAACTTTATTCTTTTTTCCAAAATTTGCATTGCTTTTATTCTCTTAAAATGTATTTAATAAAAATTATTGTAAAAAACAAATTGGGCAGTTGATTGATACAAGAGTCAGTGGTTTCTGACAAAGAGCTTTACACTACAAGCAATCATTAATGAAACCAAGCTCTTGCCTGAGCAGTTGAAAGACAATCAACGTAGAATTTCCTTCTCCTAACTCTGGTTACACTGTTACATGGTTTGAGACATAGAAAATAGCAGGGAAGAAGTAAAGCTATGAGGACAAGAGATAAAACTGGGATTCCTAGGCCATTCTAATGGTTCTACAAAGAGTTAATGAAGAAAGACTCAGAATTTGTGTCTACACTCTGATGTTAAAAGTCAGGTTACTGCTGATTCTATGTTTTACGTGAGTATGGGAAGGAGAAGCACATGATATAACTCTTCTCTAGCTTTCCCAGGATGAGATTTGGGAGTTGAATGCAACATGTACACGTTGGGTATCTAGCTGTGCAAACTGCAAAGTTTGTCTTCTCACTGCTTTAGGGTCTCTTTGAAATTTATGTGGTATCCTAAAAGTGCTTTGTCACTGCTAAGAACATCAGGTGCGCATTGAAATAGAGAAAGGAAGATCTAGGAAGCAGTATTCATACATTGGCAATTAATGTTTATGTATAATTCATTCCCACTCATTCGGTTGGCAAAAAATTAGAAGTGCTACAGAACCAGAAAGTTAGGCCTTTGGGAGAAGATAGTGGAGGAGCAGAGAGCTTCTACAGACAGCTCATAGAGCTGTGACAATTACTGCTAAGATGAAAGGAGATGATACTAAGAGATAAGGATAAAGGTGGGATCTTTGGACATTTTGCTTTCCTTTCCAAAAACTCAAAAAAATCAAAGTGTCTGATGGCCTCAGTTAGGGTTGTCAAACTCAGTTTCAGTGAGGACCACATTAGGGCTGTGGTTGACTTGGGTGGGGAGCTAGCTGGCGGGGTACGGCCAGCTTGATGCCACTCCCCAAACTGCTGGCATGTTTCCTCTTTGCACTAGGTAGATGGGCTGAAGCCATGCTGTCCCGATATTTCCTCTTTGCATTGGGTAGACCGGGCTGAAGTGCCACAGGCCAGCCTCTTACATTTTCCAGGACATCCCCGCCTTGTGTTTTCCAGGACTGGGCCTTGTGTTTAACACCCCTGGGCTAGGTGAACTGAAGAAACTTTCAGATATAATCTCTGGAAACACCTCATTGATTGCTAGAATGTCTGTCTTATTCTAGGCATTTTCTGTGGCTAGAATTGGGGCACATTACATTTTTCAAACAAGGAGCCACACTTGACTAATTATTGTTAACTCACCTTTGTTATCTAGAGTAATAAATTATATCTAACATTGATGTTGCAAAGACTATCAATTTCTCATACATTTTCTACCATCCTACAATTGTATGTACCATAATGGGATGGGAGAAAAATGAGCTGAATTTCTATTTTCAGAAACGGTGATTTCATGGACATTTGTTTCCTTCTTTCTAACAGGGTTTGGACAAACTGTTTTGCAATATATCTAAACCTGTTTTGTAGATTGTAAGATCCAGTTTGGAAGTCTAAAAGCTGCCCACCATATCATCTAATACAGGGGTGTCAAACTCAATTTCATTGAAGGCCACATCAGGGTTGTGTTTGACCGGGGGGGGGCAGGGTGTGTGTGGCCAGCATGATATCACTTGTGTTGGGGGGGCGCCTGTGGTGGCCTAAGCACTCTGCCAAGGTAAATGGGTTCCTGATCTCTGTTTACAGCTGCAACCGTCGGCCAGCGAAAACAGCTTGGGAGGGCAGCCGTCCCGAGCTCCATATTCAGAGG